GAATTTCCAAACGGATAAAAGGTTCCCTAAGTTTCAAATATTGCTAGGCCAATGGATTTGCGTCCTGAGTGAGCCTATGGATTTTCTAAGCTTGATCCATCTATGAGGTCCTTTTTTTTTCTTCCATGCCTACTGTTGCTACCAGTTTTTCCAATTATGAAGTTTTCTCCTTGACGATATCATTTGTAGGATCAAATTGTTTTCCCTGATGAAGGTTTATTTGAGAAGGTATGCCTATTGAATTGAGGTTACTAGCATGTGAAGTATTATTTTCGGATTGTGACCACATCATACTTGTTTCTGTTAGGTTAATCAATCATCAGACAGGGTGTATATTCTGAAGTTCAACAGTGATGACCGCAAGTTATTCTTTTGGATGCAGGTCAATTGTTAGCTTGTTTTCTTTCATGATATGTGTGTATTTTTGTTTACCTAATCACTTTAATCTTTGATTTTATTTGTTTCTGAAACTCTTTTTCTAACTTACGTTTGCAGGAGCCGAGAGCTGAAGCTGATGCAGATCTGTGCTCTTCAGTCAACCAATACCTCAATCAACCACTAGGCATGTAACATTCCTTCCTTGTTACATAAAGTCTTGGATATGATACTATCCTGGTAGTAATTTTTGTGATCGGGGAACTAGCTCTCTTATCCTTAAATATATTTCTTCCATACTCTCATTTCATAGTTTTTTGGTTTTCTATATCAAACAGAGTTGGGAATAATCTTATGGTCTAATTTATACAAGCAGGGCATGAACCGCTTTTCCTTTCATTATTGCTTGTGTCATCATCAAGATGATTCAGTGTTAGGCGCTAGCCAATGGCCTAGGCGGAAATTAGAAAAAGCATTATAATATAATGAAACAACCTCAAAATCATAAAATAGAGTCCAACTGTGTCAAAGAAGGAATTCAATATTAAGTCAAAATCACGTTCATCAAACAAAGGTCCATGAAGTATTAAGTAAAATCATCTTGTTTTGAGATTTACATTCTTTTAAGAGATAGGCTGACTATCTTGCTTGGGGCGATTAGTCACCAACCCCTGCCCAGAGCTATTAATCAGTTACTAGACCGCTATACTGCTTCCTCTGCCTACATAAGGTGTGTACAACAAAATTGCCATGGATGAGTGGCACCTATGTAGTAGAAAACTGGTTCAAATCCATATTTTTTTTGGCTTTATATTTTGTCAACGGCACTTTTAAATTCTCTGTGCAAATGGATCTCGAGTCAGACTAACAGTTAGTTTAATGCGACTGTTGACTGAATGATGAAGAAGTTATTGATAAATATGAAAGATCAGATTTGCAACAATATGTTCAATTCCTTGCTTGTTATAGTTGGTTCTATGAAGAGAGTTTTGAAAAGAGGATGTAAAATCTGTTGGTTTTTACCGCACAAAGACTTGTCTTTTCACAGATGGATGCCAGAAATTGTAGCCTCTTGATTGATATATTCTCTAAGACACTGCATTAATTCGCATATGAGCAATAAAATGTTATTTTCTCATCACCTTTCTGTGTATACCATATGCCCTTGATAGTGGAAACACTGAATGTTTAGTCACTTGCATAACAGGATAAAGTTGAATCAATCTAATAAGCTTTCTGTTCACCAGAGTTTCTTGGTGAAGAAGGAAATCCAGGTGCTGCCCTGGAGGGATTGGAAGACATGGCAGAAGATGATGTTTCGTCTAGGTACTGATTATGCCAATATGCTAGTCTGACTGTTAGTATTTGCATCCACTCAGCATTGGATGTAAACTGCCTTACCATTTTATCTTCATAGATGGGTTGATTGCTTTGTGGTCAGTTTCATGAAAGAGATATTTTCGTACTGTTTTTTCTTGTGTTGCATCCTACCTGTCACTAGACTTTGCTCATTATATTTCCTCTAGACCGAGGGGCCGATAGATGTTGCTAATAAAAGCTATTAGCTTTTCTGTGATGTTGAAACTCTGGAAGTCTTAAGTATCAGGGTCATAAAGAATACCAATTGTCCTTTTAATCATGTCAAGATTTTTCAAAGCACAAGTTTGATTTTGAGTTGAACACAATGCGAAAGAACACTATTAATTTGCAGTAAATGGTATGAGCTTATTTCAAATGCAATGGCTTATTTGAATTTTTTCATTCTTCACAGAGCTGGAAACTTGGTTGTACCAAATTTGTCTACAGAGGTGAGTGACGTGACATCTTCTTCTGGACCAGTTAAGCTGGCAGACCTGCAAAGAATTCTGAACAACCTCTCTGCTGGTCCTGTTGGTACAGTTCTCTATCTCTTTGGTACTGTTCCTGTCAATAAGCCTTTTTGGTTTCGCCCTTATTCATTTAGGTACGGTGTTATTTCAGGTATCACTGGAGATGAAGATGAGGGTAAATAATCTTTATTTTATCTCTGTTTGTTTAGTATGATGTGGTGCGGGAACATTATGTAGTTTTTAATCTACTTCTGCATGGCTTGGAGATGGCTGTGCCCACCATCAGTTATTTGGTTTCAGTATTTGTTGTTCTTTCTCTCTGCCTTTGTTCATTATTAAGCACATCGTCCTCTCATGTCTTATCTTCTGAAGGCATAGCATTAGGGGATATCTTGAAGCCGGAGTTGATTATGCCATTGCTTGAGATGTTACCAGTACAAGAACAACTGTCTGCGCATTTACCTGAGGTATGTCCCGGTTTTCATTGTTTCCTATATTCTATGAAGGTGACTATTACATGCAATTCTCTCCTTGTTAGATCTGTCTTTTTAAATATGTGATAGAAAAATCTTAGTCAAGTTGTGAATTTAGGGAAAGTAACATGCATAGAGGGGCGTTTGAAATGGTTTTGGGGTAGGGAGCAGAGTTTTATATGTCGATGCTATATTGTTTGAGACTGGAATGTCTTTGATTGGGGAGATAGGGTGATGGTATTCAAACCTTAAAACTCCTTCTATCTTCACTCCATAGGTTAGACTTGATTAACAAGAAGTCTCTAAACTCTAGACAGAGGCCCAAACCAAGACCCTATAAATTTTTTAGAATGGCCCCAACTTCCTTTTTAACCTGTTACTCAACTATTGTTGTGGAGCTGGGAATATAGCTATAATCCACTACAAGCCGCCTAGGCTAATTACAATGCTCATGCACTAGACTAACCCAAGGTCTTATCACAGGGTCACTCTAGTGCAGAAGATATACTGGAGCTGTTGCAGAGCCCTCCTTTTCGTCAACAAGTAGATGCATTTACCTATGTAAGCCCCTTAGTGACAATTTTGTTCCTGTTCTTGGCTCGATATTCTGACTCAACTTTAATCATTCTTTAGATTCTTCGCACAGGACAAATAGATTTGTCTCAGTTTGGTATCGACCCAAGTAAATGTGAGTCCGAATGTTACAGTAGAATTTTCAGAGGCATCAGAGTCTTTTTGTTTCATTTTTCTGAAAAGTGTTTTAACTCTTGTTGCAGACAAGTTCACAGTTATCTCATTCCTTGAGGCACTCGAGGACTCGGTTTCAACGCAATCAAATCATGCTATGGATGAGAGTTAATCTCTTATATTCTCATTATTTTGTTCAAACTTTGACATTTCAACTGAGGAAATTGTTTTCCTTGTTTAATGGATTGAAATTTATGGAGTTTTTTTGGTTGAATGCGTCTGGTGGGACTTTATTTTATGTCAAAAAGGTTTTAGGCATTACTTTATTTAGAGATGGTAATTCTGTTTACAATTTGATTTATTTTCATACAAAACTGAAATTATTAAAAAATCTGTTCTCAAGATAAATCCCATTTCCTTGCTAATTAATTAACTGAGAGATTCCCGAAGCTTCTAGGGTTCTTTTTAGCGATTTGCGGTTCTATTTTTAATGAGTGATTTTTAGTATGTTTATGGCTAATTTCTTGGGTCGTTTACACAATCAAGCACTTTAGTATAAAGTCTTTACAATAAAAGGCACTTTGCACAACATGGTGACTTTTCCCTTGTAAATTGTCCAATCTATCTCTCAAGTAACATATCTAGTTACTTATTCTTGATTAGTTTTAACATCTCAGTAACAAGAAGTTTTTATTTTAGTTTGTATAAAAAAATTTATTTTCTCAGATCGATTTTTCAGTTATTTTTTTGTACAAATCCTAAATATTACAGATTTAAAAATTAATCTGGAGAATTTCAGTTGTCGGCAACAACTCTGTCAGGGTACAACCTTCGATTTTGGGATCTCCGTCGTCCGCCGTTGGTGATTTCGACATCTCTATCGCCAGTGTCGGAGTCATGGGTTAAGCAGTTCCTTTATGCTAAATCGTCCAAGAAGAAAAGTGTCGACCCTCGACACCAGTGGATCTTTTGCTTCTCCTTCTTAGAGTTAAGAAGACGAGATTTTTTCCGACGGATCTTTTGCTTTTGTCTTCAAGCTATGAAGATTTGATTTGTTCATGAATCTCGACGATGAAACGAATCTGAAAGCAAACAGATTTAGAAGACAACCCACGAAAAAACTACTAAAAGATAAGGGGACTCGAAAAGCGTGAACCTTGTGATGGGACTTTGCGAAGGTAGTGAATTGTTTGATAGAATCGTGAGGAAATGTCAAGTAGCGAGAGAGAAGCTGCTTTTCTACAAACAAGGTATGGTTTTGGGATATTTACTCCCTAATTCATATTCTTCTCGACTATTATCCATGATTGGTGTCAATGTTTTAGAGAAACTTTGGTTTGGTTAGTGATGTTATCAGTATTTGGTTACTGCATTTGTTAAGTCATTCTTATGAGAAGAAGCCTCATATGTTATGTGAGACGGTACAGAGGTATGTGCATTCTACATGGTTTGATCTTGTCTTCACGATTTCTTCGTCAACACCCGAGGCGATAATAATTAGTCACTTTGTCTTGAAGTTTTGCTATCAATTTAGCTTTGTTAAACCAATGTTAATCTTTGTATCCATTACACTATATCCACAAATAGTTGCTCATGCTAGTTTTCATGATTATAAGCTTCT